CAACGGCAATATTTAGCCTTCTGCAACAAACACGACTTCAAAGCTATTCCCGCCGAAGAAGACACCCTTCTGTTATTTGTCACACACCTAGCGCAACGCATCAAACCACAAAGCATCAAAGTGTACCTGGCTGGAGTACGGTCTCTACACACCAGCAATGGTTATCATAGCCCGCTCACTAACACAATCAAATTGAACCAAACTCTWCGGGGAATTGAACGTGAACACTTCACACCTCCATCACAGAAACTACCGATAACATTTGATTTACTATGTCGGATGTACGACTTTGTTGAACGTAGCAACTCTGATAATATTGTGTACTGGTCAGCCATGACAACAGCGCATTTCCTATTACTTCGCGCTGGCGAGTTTGTGGCCACGGATCCATCCCAGACTATTCCATCGCTTAATGACATCGAGCTAAAAAGGTCCAATGATGATAAGGAATACATGGCGTTAAAAATCACCAAGTCTAAGACCGACCAAAAGCGGGAAGGATTCATTCTCTACGCGGGCCACTCACACCACAAAGTTTGTGCGGTATGTGCTATGAAGGAAAATTTAAGAATACAACGTCAACATTCAACATCTACCACATCCCCCCTTTTCTCTCTATCAACCGGTTCCCCGATGTCTCGTGCGGATTTAAAGGGTTTCATCTCAACTTCACTACGACTACTAAACATCTCACAAGATCACTATAGCACCCATAGTTTCCGCATTGGTGGTGCAACATCTGCTGCAGTTGCAGGACTCAATGATTACGAAATAAAACTTCTAGGACGATGGTCTTCAGATTGCTACAAACGGTACATCCGCTCGCCAATCAGCACATTTCTTCAAATCTCACAGAGAATTTCTAAAACTGAAAACACTCCATATCAGTATGCTCAACCTTATAACCCTCCACAACAGTAAAGAACACTATAGAAGAACACCAACAGACCTATATATCAGAATTTTTAAATAACTTTCTTATGTTATCATTTCAATTGGGCTACTTTCTTTGGGCAGTTATATTGTAACCCAATGTTCAATATACAGTTTTGTAATAAACTGCTCTTTTCAGCCCAAACACACATTGTAGTATATAGCATAATGGATTAAGTAATGTAAATATAGTTTACATAGTTTAATAGGGAGTGGAGCGGTGTTCTGTAACCTACGGCTATATCGTATTACATTGTCGATTAATAGCTTTCTCGATAAACACGTGTAATCATCTTCGCTCGCTTTTTCGTTTTTTCCTACAATGTCGTCCAGACGAAAATCCAATCGACCACGCAATTGTGCTGGGTGCAACGTCAACTCAACGGATCACACATTTGGCACAATGTCCAAATTTTGTACAGGACCAMCATCGCAMGACTCAACAGACGACGAAGAGCCCGTGCATMATCCAGAAGCCTTAAAGAGAGGACCAAAAACAACGGAGGATAATAACGGGCAAATCCTMCTAGCACTACAGTCTCTAGCGRGTCAAMTTGAAACCCTTCAACTAGACCAGAAAAGTCTTCGGGAGAAGGTCGAGTCATCTAGCGTTGRGGGCGGACCCGCAACAAAACCGGCAAACCAAGGTAACAACCTTTATCTCTTACCCTACGTAGACCTACTTACGCTCCTAACTAGCCCTCAGTCAACCGACGATAGTTCAAGTAGTAGCAGT